GGCCCACCCCCTTGTTAAAGGCGACTGAGGATGACTCAGGGCCCTGCTGTCACCAAGGCAACCTTGGTCGCCTAGTGATGGCGGTCTCCCGGCAACGCTGTCTCCTAGCGATGGGATCTTTTCCCGGCCCTGGCTGGAGGCTGCGGTTATTTTTAGCGTGCTTGCAATCAATCGCCAGCTGCATTCTCGGCTCCTGAAGAAGATGCGAGGCGTTGGGGGTTTGGGGGTGTGGGGGGTAGGTGAGTGGACCCCTCAGTAGAGAGAGAAAAAAACTCGGGACAAGGTCCTGTGGAGCCGCTTCAGTCTAGCCTGGCAGGTGATCCCAGCTAGCACTCACAGTAGACAGGCCGGTAGAGACTGTTGGTGAGGGTTCAGCCTATCCCGCGGGCTAGTCTGAGCACACGTGAGCCGTCCCTGGCTGCAGCAGGACAGGCTGGCTGACAGGCAGAAGGTGCCCGCCTCTGGACACTGCTCCCCTCTGCTGGGGAAGGTGGGGATGCAGGTGCGAGCCATCTGTCTCCATTTCCTTGGGTTTCCTGTTCTTGGCACCAGGGATCATGCCTACGCAACTCCACCACCAAAGAGCTGGGCAGGACCCCTGCAATGCATCCCAGTGTTTCTTGCAGCCCCATCATGCTCCAGGCTCTGTGTCCCCAGCCTGGGACCCTCTTCCTGCACCTTGCCCCTCCTCATCTCCTGTCCCAGGGGGTTCCTGACCTTGGTCTCAAGTGCTGTGAATTTCCCTCTCTGGGTTCCTGCAACCTTGAAGTACCCCTTGCCTGCTCAGGCCTGGCTCGGGCAGGTGCCCCTTCATGGAAACTCCCCTTTGGTTTGTTCCTCTCCAGCACCAGCAGCCCCCTAGGACTCGTGATTTGGGGAGCAGTGCAAGGCTGAGACAGGTGACATTGACTCCGGCCACCAGGGTCCCCACCCATGGTCCCCCATCAGGTAGCTCCCCCTCAGAAAGCCAGGTTGTTGAAGTGCGAAGCCATCGGGAAAAGTCGTCCTGTTCCTGGCGCCTCTGCCTCACTGAGCCCCACAGCCAAGGGCCCAGGGTTGCAGCCTCCTCCAGGGTCTGCTGGCACCAGGGCCACAGGCGGGCAGCTGCCTTCCCATCCTCTAGGCTGCAGTCTAGACTCTAGGCATCTGCAGATCCCGAGTCAGGACAAACAGAGAAAAAAACTAGGAGGGGTCAAGGATTCCATCTTGCTTGAAGCCACAATCAATACATGGACGCAGCAGTCAAGAAATCAAAAGATAAGTTGCAGTGGGTAAGCCTGCTGCATGAGACTTCTTGAAAATGTTGAAAAGCAAGGAGGTTACTTTGAGGACTAAGGCATGTGTGCCTGGCCCAAGCCTTCGTCTTTTCAGACACCTCCTCTGCTCCTGTAGGTTGGACTTTGAATAAGGAAGTTGGAAGAAGAATCAGTGCGTTTATTGAAAATATCTTGAACGACCACGAGGACAAACAGCTCCGTCTCAGAAGAAGTATGGCCAGAATGTTCTTAGAAGCTAGCACGGTGAGACTTCGCCTCACACGGTCCCGATAGGTGACCAGGAGAGACCAGTCCCTGGAGAAGGGCATCATGCCTGGTAGAGTAGAGGAGCAGTGAGCCAGGGAAGATGCTCAAGGACAAGCATTGACACCTTGGCTGCACCGATGGACTCTGATACTAGAACAGTTGTGACGATGGTTCCATTCTGTTGTGCATCAGGTGCTCCGAATCCGAATGGACTCAACGCTGCCTGACAGCAAGCAGAAGCCGCTGCCTCCATCCTTTCTCGTTGCTCTTGGCCTTCCACGCCCATCTCTGCCTCCTTCACCGCACAGCCATCTTCCCTGTGTGTTCCCGCCTCACAGGGGCACAGGTCAAGTAGGAGGCAGGCCACCCTACTGGAGACAGACTCCAGGAGGCCCAATGCCCAGAGAAGGACACAGGACAAACGGGGGCCTCGGAACTCACACCTGTGTCCCTCCCCATGTATGTCCTGAAAGGGTTGAAGACACCTTGGGGATCCCTGACCCCCACTGGGTGGCTCTTGGGGTCTGCCAGGAGTAGGGCTGGAGCTGGGGCCACACCTTTCCTTACTAGGGTCCCTGCATTGGCTTCTCCCTGTGCCCTGAAGCTCCTCTTGCTGAGGCTCCCAGGTCACCTCTTAGGGCCTTGCTCCTTGACCACCCAACTGTGCCATCCCTGACCTAGAGCATCCCATGACTCAGCTCTCTCATATGCATGCATGCCTATGTGTGTGTGTGCATGTATGCACGGGTACACACACATCTATACTGTGTGTGCACTCAGAGGCATTGTGCATGAGTGTCAGTGTGTACATCTGTGCATCCATCTCTATACTGTGTGTGCTGTCATGGGCACTGTGCATTTGTGCATGTGTGTCAGTGCATACGCATGTATATCCATGTCCATGCTGTGTGGGCACTAAGGATGCATGTATTCATGTTCAGCTGTGTGTGCACACTGTATATGTACATATATGCCCATACTGTATGTGTGCATGCATGTTCATTTGTATACACATATCTGTACATACTGTGTGTGCTCATGGGCACTGGGTTGTGCATGCATGGATGCATACGTGTATCCATTCACAGGCATCATGTATATGTGTACACGTGTATACATGCATGCATTTACATTGTGTGTGCACTAATGGGCATTATGCATGTGCATGCATGTGTGTGGAGGTGTCACACACACATGTATATACGACTCATGCTCACAGGGTGGGGGCTCAGAGCTGGGCCGGGCAGATGCCCATGAACAACAGCTACCCTTATTGTTGCTGGTGGAAATGATACCTCCGTGTGCTCCATAGAACTGCACACGGAGGGGAGGGGAGGGGAGAGAAGGGGAGGGGAAGGTACCTCTTCCCTTTGGGACCATGGCCCAGACTGCAGCACAGAGCAGCTACTCACTTGGTTTGTGAACCTGTGACTGATGCCAGATAGGTCACACTTGCAGGAATTCAGGGAGAGGGACTACTGAGGCAGAACCCCGAACAGTGATCACCCAGGAATAGGGGTATCACTGGTCCATGCTCTTGGGAGGCGTGAACTCAAGAGAGGCCGACACATAGGGACCCTCTGTGGGTTTCTGAGACTCTCTACAGGAGTAGAAAGCCTCGCCTTTCTCCCTCCGAGCAGTGGTTTTGAACCGCTGACCATGCGGATCGAAGCCCAACTTATAACCACGACACCCCCAGGGTTCTACTTGGGAGGGGTGACGGGGCCCTAATGGACTGGCCAGAGTCTGGTTGTGATGCCGCTTATGGCCACGAGAGGGCGCAAGGAGCCCAATGTCTGAACTCAGGTTTGGAATAGGCTGGACCGAGTCCAGGGATGCTGGAGCTCCTGAAGTGGCTCTTTGGGCTCAAGAAAATCTACCAGGGCCTCCCTCCCTCCAGACCCTGTTCACCCTCTAAGGTCCCAAGTCGCTGATGCCGGCCTCCACTCCTCTCTGGCTTGGGAGGCCCTGGGCGGGCGGGGAAGGGCTGCCCACCCCTGCCTCCTCCTTCCTGTGGGTCTCTGACTTCTCCCAGCCCTGAGCTTCAGGCCCAGGGCCTGGGGGATAAAGGTCAGCAGAGGACCTGGAGTGCAGGCTTGACAGGGCGGCAATGGATATATAATCCAATTGGTCTGTGCCCACCATTGAGGCTGCTGGCCTCAGGCCTTATGGGAAATGACCCATAGCCCTGGGCTCTCACTCCAGTCAGGAGCTCCAGCTTTGAGGCCAGCTCCACCCTTCGCCTGGGCCTTCACTGGCCGCTCTGGAAAGTACCCTGGTCTTGGAGAGCCCACTGAGGTTCAGCTTGTCCAGACGTTATAGGGGCTGTTTCTGCAGCCATAGGGCCTGGGTTCTGTCATCCAAAGCCATGTCATGAGTCACTGGCCGCACCATCCCTTGGACAAACGTGTGGTCGGTGTGAGCTGAAGAAGGCAGTTACAGAGGTGGGTGGAAGGTCTGAGGACTAGGGCTAGGGGGCGCCTGACCGGAGCCGTGGTATTCTCCATGGTCTATGCAGGTGAAAGATGGACACTGAATGAGGAAGACTGTAGGGCAGTGGTTCTCAACCTTCCTCATGCCGTGACCCTTTCATACAGTTCCTCATGTTATGGTGACTCCCCCAACCATAAAATTATTTTTGTTGCTACTTCATCACTGTCATTTGGCTACTGTTATGAATCTGGAGATTCCCATGAAAGGGTCGTTCAACTCCCAAAGGGGGTCGCGACCCACAGGTTGAGAACCACTGCTGTAGACGCATAAGATGCATTTGAATTGTGATGGTGAAGAATACTGAAAGTACCACGGACTTCTAAAAGGACAAACAAACCTGTCTTGGAAGAAGTGCTCCTTAGAGGCAAGGGTGGTCGGATTGGTCTCTTTGCACATGTTGTTAGGGGAGACCAGTCCCTGGGGAAGGAAGGACGTCCGTCATGTTTGTCTGGTAAAGTAGAGGGACAGCAGAAAAGAGGTACACCCTCAATGCGATGGGCTGACACCATGGCTGCAACAATGGGATCAGGCCTGGGAACAGTTGTGAGGATGGCGCAGGACGGGGCAGTGTTTGTTCTGTTGTGTGCAGTTATGGGTTGGAACGGACTCGATGCCGCTACCATCCACAGTGGTCGGTATGAGCTGGCCTGGCTGCCCTCCCCACAGTCCCCTCTCCGTGGCTCACTCAGGTTGGGCTAGTGCTTGGACCTAGCTCTCGGAGGGTGACCAGGTGACAGTCCAGCTTCCCCAGGCAGGTGCAGCCTAAGTGGGAGCGGACAAGTGGGGTGTGCCTGGCGGCGCCCCCCACCCGGGCTGCCGGCCCCGCCCCCGAGCGCCGCTCCGATTGGCGGAAAGTTCCGGGGCTGCGCTGGGATTGGTGCCCGCCCTGGCAGGCGCTGGGTCCTGGCCCTAGCGGCCGGCGAGGGGCCGCGGGCGGTGGGGCTGCCCCCGGGCCGGCGGGCGGCCGGCGCCCCGCATGCTCCGCGGCCGCCCGTCCCAGTCCCTCTGGCCAGCTCCAGAGACCCCAGCCTCCGGGGCTTTCCGCGCGCCATGCCGCCCCCAGTGCTGCTGGGCGCGGTCTTCTGTGTCCTCCTGGCCGGGTTCGCGCGCTCCGGCTACTCTGGGGACCGCTGCAGTTGGAGAGGCAGGTAGGACCGCGAGGAAGCCTGCGCTCCCAGCACCAAAGCCCTGCCCTCCCCGGGCGTCCGGCGACGGCGGGGCTCGTTTCCTTGGCGGAAGGCGGGGTGGGCGGCTGGGCGGGGACGCTGGGCGCCCAGTTCAGCCGGGCTGGTCCTGTTTCCAGCGGCCTGAGTCAGGAGCCCGGCAGCGTGGGGCAGTTGCGCTTGGACTGTGCAGAGGGGAGCGTGGAGTGGCTGTACCCAGCCGGGGCGCTGCGTCTGACCCTGGGCCGCCCTGACGCTGGCCTGCAGCCCGGTGTCGCCTGTCTGCGGGCTGCGCGACACTTTGCCGGAGCCCAGGTCTTCGCGGAGCGGGCGGGCGGCGCCCTGGAGCTGCTGCTGGCCGAAGGTCCAGACCCGGCCGGCGGCCGCTGTGTGCGCTGGGGTCCGGGCGAGCACCGCGCCCTCTTCCTACAAGCCGCGCTGCAGCGAGACATCAGCCGCCGGGTGGCTGCCTTCCGCTTCGAGCTGCGAGAGGGTCCACGGTCCGAGTTGCTGCCCCAGGCACATGGCCTCGGGGTGGATGGTGAGCGACCCTCCGAGTGGTGGTGGGGGACGTGGGACCCCTGCCCAGATAGATATACCGAGGTCTGCAAGGCGGTGATTGTCAAAGGCCACACAGCTGCCCAGGAAGTCCAGAGGGGGACCTGGGTGGCCCTCCTGTTGACCCTCAGATAAGAGGCTGTTGGCAGAAGTGATGGTGGTGGTGCGGGGGAGGGGAAGAAGGTTAGGTTTCCAGGCATGGCAACCTCATGCCCCTGATCCCTTTGGGTTGGGGCTGGGTGGGGGAGGGGTGTTAGAGTGAGAATCCAAACTCCGGCTAAAGCTGCCCAGGGCTGGCGGCCCAGCCATGACCTCCCTCTCCTCCCCCTGCCAAGACCAACAAAAAAAGTCCCGTGTTGCCATGGTAACGCCTCCCGCCTCCACACTGGGCTAGCTCTTCAATCTTCTGGGGCTTGCAGCCTGACCTCATAGGGGACAGGGGTCTTCATCCTGTGTCTTGACCCCTTGGTGGCCCTATCATCCCCGTGACTCTGAGCCTGGTTGGTCTGAGGTCAGGGAACTTCTAGGCACTAAGTATAAATTGTGGGGCAGGGGTGCCCTCCAACCATGCGAGGATCAGCCCTAAGTTCAGGTCTGCACCACTGAGTGCACCCCAGGAGTCAGGGTGGGTGCACGTGTGTCTGGGGCTCCCTCTCACACCTGGGGTCTCCACAAAGGCCAGGGTTAAGCTTATAGCCTATAATTTTCCCCAGGCCGGTGCAGACCCTGCAATGACACCGAGCTTCTCCTGGCTGCCTGCACCAGTGACTTTGGTGAGTGTCCAGCTGTTGGGGGGTGGGGAGTGCTCTGGGGCCCACCTTCCCCCCCACATTCCCACCACTGGCCACGTGTCTCCCATAGTGATCCAAGGGACCATCCAGGGGATCAGCCACGACCCCGAGCTGCAAGAGTCTGTCATCCAGGTGGTGGCTGCCCGTGTGCTTCGTCACATGCTGCCCATGCCCGGGGCGGGGGGCACCGCGCAGGTCTCCATTCGCACCCCACTGCACTGTGGTGTGCGCCCTGGCCCGGGCACCTTCCTCTTCATGGGCTGGAGCCGGTTCGGTGAGGCCTGGCTGGGTTGTGCCCCCAGAGACCAGGAGTTCCACCGTGCCTACGAGGTTGCGCGCACTGCCCACCTGCTCCCCTGCGAGGTGGTGCTGGACTGAAGGAGGCTGGGAGTGACTGCCCCTGAGGTCTCTCTCCAGGGATGGGGCTGGTGGTGGGTGAGGGGTCCTCCAGAGTGGCTCTGGACAGTAGTGATGATCAATAAGAACGTGCATTAAGTCAGTGATGCCCACGGCTTCTGTGTATTGTACTCTGCTCTGCCACGTGCCTGGCTCCCACTTAGTGGGGGAGGCTGAGGCTGCCTCCTGGGGTCCCTTAGAGACAGGTGGACACAGCTTCCCAGCTCGAGCCTAGACAGTGCGGGAGAGGGCCTGCTACTGGCCACCCACCCCCCTGCTGCAGTCATCCTCGGTCAGCCCACTCTCGGAAAGAATGGGCCCCTCTGTCCTGCTCTGTCCGGAGGCCCCTGGGACGTGCCAGGCATCCTGACTGGGGGAGTGAGTGTGGAGTCTCCCACAGGGTCTGCCCGGCCGCTTACCGTAAGTGGCCAGTGTTTCCCGCCACTAGCCCATTGTGCCCCGCACTCCCCTCCCCCGCATCCAGCACCGAGGTTGGCGGGATGAAGGATCCCGCTCACAAAAGGGCATGCTGACTCCCTCACCCCAGCCCACCTCCGCGGAAGCTGGGCCCCTCCTCCGTTCACTGAGACCCTCCATGGGCGGGGCATCCGAGAGCTGCTGTTTGGGGGGAGGGGCTGTCTTGCCCTGGGACCACCCTTTAGTGCTGGAAGCCGGATTCCTAAGGACCCCCTGCCTTGTCTAGTCTTTCTGCTTCCCCTAATCTCCCCAAATGTTCAATTCCGCCCCCACTCCCCCCGCCCACCTCCGTTCCTGGGAGCTGGACCAGGCTTTCACTTTAAATGCCACCAACACTCAGAGGGGCCGTCCCTCATCCCTCTTCGCTAGAAGCAGACTGGGACCCCACTGCACACTGCCTCCCCCTCCTCTGTTCGCCTGCCAGCAAATGCAGTGCTGCTCTGGGATAGGACCTGCTGGCCTCTCCCACCTGCCTGGGCACAGTCGGAGCCTCCCTAGTGCCCGCCACCCCCCCTACACAATCCCAGGATGGGGAGGGCTTGCGGGGCTGGAGCCACAGGCCCTCTGGGCACTGGGGGGTGAATCTATGTACCCACACTTGAATGGGGTGATGTAGCAACTCCTGCAGTGCAGGGTGGGCACACCCCATCCAGCTTTTCGGTGTTCTCAGGAGCTAAGGGACCTGTGGCAGAGACAGCTGCCCCCCAGGAAGGGCTGGGGGACACTCTGTTTGAAAGGGGGGCCGCGTTCTCAGGCCTGCCCAGGCAACATGGGGGTTTGGCCTGATCTGGGTGGGTTCTGTGCATCGACTTGCGCTCCCCTCCCCCCACCCCCGCAGCTTTTCCGAGCATCATCCAGGAATGCCAGTCTTGTTTGACATTTCTAGGGAAGGGACGGGTCCCTCCAGTTGCTGGGCCTCGGCCTCCCACCCCCAGGCTGGGCGAGCAGCCAGAGGTCCGGGCCCCTCACATCCGGCTCCCACCCCCACTCACTCAATGGAGCCAGCATCTGTCATCCTGGGCTGCTAACACTCCTAGTCCTCCCCACCACCCTGCCTTCCCCCACTGATTTCCCGCCCACTTAGCTAATTGCCTCCAGCTGTGGGAGGGACCGGAAGGGTGTCCTTTGCAGGCTGCTCTGGGGCTTGGCTGGCTTTCAGGAAGTCCTGGGTCAGCGGAGGCTCCCTCCCACCTTTACGCCAGCCTGGATTCTTTTCGCCAACTCCCCCCATCCCTTTCAGGCCTTCGATTCGCAGGCTCGTTTACGTTTCCCGTTCAGCCCTCTAAAATTGTTGGAGGTCCCCAGCGCCCAGAATTCCAAAGGCCAACTCATAGTGCCTATATAGGCCTTCCGAGGCTGTCAATCTTCCGGGGGCTGACAGTCCCGTCGATCTCTTTGGAGCAGCTGGTGGGTGTGAACCACCGATCTTCGGATCGGCAGGCAAGCGCTTTAAACATTGCGCCACCGCCAGGGCTCACAGAGCGACGGCAGGCACTAAATACCCGTCCATGGGGCGAACCAATGCACGACTGGACCATCGCCGTGTTCGCAATAGGGCACAGCCCGGCCAGGCCCTACTAAAGTCACGCGCCCTCGGGCTCTCCATCAGCCCGAAGCGCGGGGCGACGCCGTCGGGATCCGGAACTCGCGGGAGGGGCTCTGGGCTCCGGCGGGGCGGAGCGCGTACGGACCAGCTAAGCCTACTGACTCGGCTACTTCCGGCATCCCCTGTCCCCGCCCCTCACTTCCGGCGCCCGCGACTCGGTCCCGGGTAACGCGGGAGAGCGGCGCGGTACGGGCCTGGGGACAAGGGGAGGGTGCCGGGCCCCCGGGCCATGGCGTGAGGGGCTAGACTCCGGGCCAGAGCGAGCCCACCCCGGGCCGCGTTTCCTGCAGCAATGGAGCCGGACGACCCGGCCGAAGCGCTGTCGGAGTTGCGCGAGCGGAGATTGGGCGCGCTGGAGCTGCTGCAGGCTGCGGCGGGCTCCGGCCTAGCCGCCTACGCCGTGTGGGCGCTGCTGTTACAGCCCGGCTTCCGGCGCGTGCCGCTCCGGCTGCAGGTGTGGGCGCAGGCGGGGGAAACTGAGCGCCTGGCTCCCGGGCCGGGGCGTGCAAGGGAGTGGCAGGGTCCAGAGTCGGGGTGGGGTTAGCGCAGCCTCAGGGTGGAGCTTGCCAGTGAGCTGCTCAACCTAAGGGCGGGGCTAAGATAGCTTCGGGGCGGGGCCTGGACCTAAGCTGTAGCGCTGCGGCAGCTTTGGGGCGGGGCCTACAAGTGAGCGGCTGGTGCCGTAGGTAGGGCGGGGTTTGCAGGTAAACAGCTGGGCCCAAGGGCAGAGCAGCAGCGAGACTGGACCTAGCAAGGAGCACGTGAGGTGACGGCCTGTAGGGCAGGAAGCCCAAGTATCAGAAAGGATGAGCGTGGCCTGCCCCAGTCCTCCCCTTCCCCCAGGTTCCGTACGTGGGTGCGAGCGTGCGCCAGGTGGAGAACGTGCTGTCGCTGCTGCGAGGCCGTCCTGGAAAGATGGTGGACCTGGGCTCTGGCGACGGCAGGATCGTAAGGGCTGGGGGTGCAGGCTGGGGGCGGAGAGCGCATGAGAACAGCTGCCCTTCCCTGCCCTCGTCCTGGACCCAAGTCCACCTCCTGCTCACAGGTGTTGGCGGCGCACAGGTGTGGCCTCCGCCCAGCCCTGGGCTACGAGCTGAACCCTTGGCTGGTGGGGCTGGCGCGGCTCTATGCGTGGAGGGCAGGCTGCGCCAGCCACGTGCGTTACCTTCGTGAGGATCTCTGGAAGGTACCCTCTGGGCTCTGCGCTCCTCAGCCCACACCTGGCCCCTGCCCTGAGTGCTCTGGGGGTTGTGCTGCGTGAGCCCCAGTGACCCAATGCCCTTGTCCCCTGGCTGGGGCCCCTGCCCTGCTGGGGTGACACCTGTTCCTGTAGGTGGACCTGAGAGACTGCCACAACGTGTCTGTGTTTCTGGCACCCAGCGTGGTAGGTCTGGGGGCAGTGCCAGTGGGCAGAGCCGGGCAGGGGCTGGGTGTTCCCCGCCCATGAGCCCATGATGTCCATTGCCTCCCACAGCTCCCGATGCTGGAGACCAAGCTGCAGGCCGAACTGCCCTCAGGGGCCCGTGTGGTGTCTGGACGCTTCCCCCTCCCCACCTGGGAACCTGCAGTTGTTCTCGGAGAGGGTGTGGACCGAGTCTGGGCCTACGATGTCCACTAGTGGGCTTGCCAGGGACACTGGCCCCATTCTCAGGGTCCCTGCCTCTCAAGTCAGCTTAGGAGCACAATAAAGACTCAGTCCTGCCTCACTTTTGTTTAGTAGGGGGTTTGGGGGCCGTCACTGCAGGTAGGAGAGGGCTCTGCTACTGGATGAGGTGTGCGGGGGAGGGGGGAGAGAGGCTCCGTCTCCCCCGGACTAGCGGCTGCGGGTCCTCGGGCGTGGGGGCTGGGCTGCTGGGATGACGTCTGCTGTGGGGCGCTGTTCCCCCAGCTTCCTCAGCCTCAGGATCTCCTGCTTGTACCTGATGAGAGGGGTCCGGCTGAAGTGCCCTGCTGGCTGGGGAAAGCAGCGGCGTCCATTTCCCCCGTACCCCACGGCCCTGAGGTCACCTGCCCAGATGCTGGTCCACATACTGGCGCAGCTCTGAGAGCTGAGCCTCGGCCGCTGTGGCTCGCCCCAGCAACTGTGCCCGCTCCCGTTCCAGTTCAGCCTGGGGTGCAGAAGGGTGGTCAGCCCGGGGCACTGGAGAGCCACCCAGCCCCTCCCCACCCACACCCACCTGGGCCCCTCGGGAGAAGTCCTGGAGTTTCTGTCGGATCTGGGCCCAGGATGCAGCGTCCAGGATCCTTTGGGGGGAGAGGCATCAGGCCCAGGCACTGCCCACCTGCTGGGGTCTGGCACTCTGGCACGCTAAGTCTGGTGCCCTCTGGGAGCATGCTGGGAAGAGTCAACTGGCTGGCTGGTTACCCGGAGCTGGCTAGTCTGTCGGACTTAGACCCCAGGACTGCTGCACGTCCGCAGAGGGTGGGAGGCAAGCGGACTCTGGAAACTGATGGCCACTTCTCCAGTGGAGCAGCTGGCCGCAGACCTCCAACCTTTCATTAGCAGCCTTTGCTTAACCCACTGTGCTACCAGGGTGCTTTACGGGCTGGTTAGGGAAGGCCAGTGACAGCAGGAGTGTCCACCGTGCCCCCTGCCCTCTAGGTGCCCATTTCCCAAAACCCTGAGAGGAGGGTCTGGGGAGAGTGAAGCGGGGCCAGAGGCTGGGGACCAGGTCAGCAGCCTGCTCTAGTCTGTCCTGGGCAGCTCCTGCTGGGTGCCCCTAAGCCACCCCTGCCTCCAGCCATAGGCCCCCAGGTTTTAGCTGAGAGGCCACTTTCCAGAGGAGGCCAGTGCCCCTCCCAACACCCTCAGGGTACTCACTGTGACTCAGATGTGCCCTCCAGAGAAGTTACTCCAGGGCCCCTCTGGAAACAAGAGCAGGGTCCTATGCTGTAGAAGGAGAGCCTGCCCAGGCTGCCCTGGAGGCTGAGGAGGGCGGGGCAATGCTGGGACTGCACTGTGCATCTGGGAGGGTGTGTCACCTGGGCTTGGAGGGTCCCACGTTGTGTCTCCTTCCCTGAGGTGCCCTGCAGGTGGCTGAGCTCTGTTGTCAGGTGCCTAGGAGCCAGCTCGAGGTCCCCAGTGGCCAGATCAAGGACGGCCTGCGGGAGCCTGGGGGCCAGAGGGGACCCATCAACATTGGGGCAGGGCCTAAAGCACACCTCAGGCCACAAGAGGCCTGTGGGAACCCCTCACTGACTGGGAGGCCCACCTGTGGGCGGCCAGCAGCGCTTCATGCCGACTCCTCAGGTCGGCCAGCTGCTTGCGGTAGGTGCGGGCAGCCCGGGCCAGCTGCTGTTCTCGGCTGCGGTGTGCTGCCCGGATGCCCTCCAGGGTGGCTTCCAGGAATGTCTGCAGGGACATGACTGCCGGTGCCTGGCCTGCAGCGTCTGTGTAGTTCTGGGGGAGATGCAGCTGGGCTGGTGCTGGGGCCACCGGGTACCTGCCGGTGCGGGCCAGGCCAGCTCCCTGGGACCAGAGGCCGCCTGGCCGGTGCTTACCGCCACATCCCGGGCGCAGCGCTGCAGCTGAACTGCGTGTTCCTCGTTCAGCCTCTTGAGCTGCATCTGCAGCTGGCTGTTGTCGGCCTCGGCCTGGCGGAGCTGGCGCTGGCAGGCAGACAGCGCCTGGGGACAGAAGTGGCCCTGAACCCTAGTCCAGCAGGGTGAGCAGCCCTCCTAGGACCTGAGCTGGCCGGATCTCCTGGCAAGTGACTCACCTCAGCTTGCAGAGCCACTCGCTCTCCAGCTGCCCTGGCCTCCTCTCGGGCTCCCTGTAGCTGCCGGCCCAGGGCTGCCCTGCAGATAGGGTGAGGCCAGGGGGTGCCATCAGGGGCCCATTGTTCCTTTGGAATATCCCCTCCCTGTCCCCCCCACCTGGGGGGGGTGCGGTCACTTACACAAGTGTCTGCAGCGCCTGCCGCTGGGCCTCCTGCTGCTCCAGTGCCCTCTCTGCTGTGGCCAGTCGTTGTGGGTGCACGGATGCTGGAGCTGGCCCCCAAACAGCCTGCCCAACCCACTGTCCCCCTCCAGGACCATGGGGCATGCTCACGGGGTCAGCTGGCTCCTGTGACCCTGATTCCAGAGGCACGAGGCCCCCAGGCTGCCTCTACACAGGTGGTGGGAGGAGGATGGGTAAGCAGGTTGGCCGCTCTGGCCTCCCCACACCCTGTGAGGCTCCCCACCCATCTGTCCAGGTGCTACTTGCCCCTGTGGCGTGCTGGGGCCTGCGGTCTCGGGGGTGGCTCTGTGCCTGTGCCTGGCGCTGCCCCCGACTGGCCTGTTCCTCACACAGCTCCAGCTCCAGCACCCTGCTCTCCAGCCGCAGGACCTGCAGGGTGTCCCAGTGAGCCTGTGGCCACCTGAGCCCTTCTCTAGCCAAGGGCAGCCCACCTGGCAGGTGCCCACCTCGCTCTGCAGGTGGAAGACCTCGGCCTCCTGCTGTTCCCGCAGGCGGTGGGTGCTGAGTTGCAGGCCGACCAGCTCCTTGGCGATCTGAGGGGTCAGCGGGTAAGGAGTCCCATAGGACAAGCTCCCCCCAGCCCCGCATCTGTTCCCACCTGCAGCTGCTGCCCTTCATTCAGTTCCAGGTCTGATGGTCCTTCTGGCTCTAGGCTGGGGGCCCAGGCTGGGTGGTCAGCTGACCACCTGTCCTCAGACAGGGGCAGGGCCTGTAGAAGCAGCCCCATTTATTCTTCCGATAGGTCCAGACCAGACTGGAGCCCCAGCCCTTCTGACTCGGGCAGCTTCCCCCTGGCCAAGAGCACACAGGAGTGGGACCTATCTCCCCACTCCTCCCCTGAGGCCCAGCTCGGGCAGGATCGTCTTGTGAACTCACATTCTTAGTGGACCGAGGTGGGGGTCCTGGCCTGGGGCCCGTGGCTGCCCCTTTCTCCATGGCTGAGGGACTGGGTTGCGCCTGGCTGGCTGTTGCTAGGGTGCAGGGACTCATGTTACACATGGTGGTGTCCTGGGAAACGTAGGCCCTGTCCCAGAGGGCTGAGCTGTGGCGGGGGAGGATAATTGTCCCATTTGTGTTGACCCTTTCTAGGCCTCAGTTTCCCCATATGTGCAGAGCAGAATGGCACCAACTCTTGGTACACGGGTGTTCAGCCATGTACAGGGCAGGATGTGCCTCCTAAGTGCTGAAGGGAGCAGAGTGGACAGCCCTCCCTCCCAAACACACACCAAACTGGAGAAAAGGGCAGTGTCCCACTGGGGACGGAGTGGCAGGGCGAGGGGACGACTGGTTCAGGGCAGGTGACAAGAGGGCTGTCTGGAGGAGGGGACCAGTAACCAGTCCCAGATGCGGAGCGGGCAGGACAGGCCTTCCCTAGGTGGGCCCAGGTATGACCGAGTGAGAGCTGGGCTGTCCTGACTCCCATCCCACTGCCCACACTGGAGCTGGGCCACGGGGGGCTGCCAGGTAAGTGGGTCCTTGGCCTGGCTGGGGGGGTCAGTTCTGTGGCCTGGCTGAGGGGGTCAGCTCTGTGGCCTAGCTGGGGGGTCATCTCCATGTCCTGGCTGGGGAGATAAGCTCCGTGGTCTGGCTAGGGGGTTCAGCTCTGTGGCTGGGCTAGTGTGTGTGTGTGTGTGTGTGTGTGTGTGTGTGAGCTATAGGCATGCTGACTACAGTGCTTGGGGGTGGGGCCCAGAGTCTGGGTGCTGTGACTGAAATGGGTGCCCTGGGGGCAGCCCAAGGAGCTGCCAACCACACAATGGCTCTAGTTGTCACTAGACCTGTCTTTACCTTTGGTGCCAGGCTGTGAGTGGGGTTGTACCCTGAGTCCTGCCGACAGTGTTGGGACCGTGGTGCTGCCCTGGGTCAGCTGAGTGCTGGGGATGGGGCGTCCCCCCACTAGTTGTACCCCGGTGCCCTCCTCACGGGAAGATCCGGCTCAGATGTTCAAGGGGATGACAATGAAGAAGGCAACCCACTCCCGGAGGCGCTGGGCAGGGAGGGCTGTGGGCATCCTGATAGTGGTGGGCCTGAGGTCAGGAAAGGCCATACCCTCCCCCTCCCCCTGCACCAACAGGGGCTCCTGGGCCCTGCTCAATGGCCAGCAAGACTGCGTGTCTCGGGGGACAGGGTTGGAGGGGTGTGCTCTCCGGGCTAGCTGTGCGGTGGTTCCTGAACCGGAATAAAGACGAGGCTCTGGAGGGAAGGGGGCTAGAAAGGGGGAACCGATCACAAGGAGCTACATAGAACCTCCTCCCTAGGGGATGGGCAACAGAAAAGTGGGTGAAGGGAGACACCGGGCAGTGTAAGATAAGATAAAATAATAATTTGTAAATTATTAAGACTTCATGAGGGAGGGGGGAATGGGGAGGGGAAAAAGGAAAATGAGCTGATTCCAGGAACCCAAGCGGAAAGCGAATTTTGAGGATGAGGGCAACGAATGTATACGTGTGCTTTACACAATTGACGTGTGTATGGATTGTGATAAGAGTTGTATGAGCCCCTAATAAAATGATTAAAAAAGAAAAGATCAGGCACATTCCTGGGACACAAGACACCGCTGAGAGAAGCTGTAGGACACACAGGCCCTTTATTGGCACGATAAGAAGAGACTCCCCCGTGGGGACAGGTCCAGCCCAAGCCTGCACCCTGCTGTACGAGTCTGGGCCCGTGGCTGGCAGGGCTGGCTGCCTTTGCCTGCTCAGCAGACCCCCATTGATTGGCACAGGACCATGGCTTCTGTCACAGGAGCGACTTCCTCCCGCTCCAAGGAGGAGCAAGGGGCCTAGTCACAGGCCCGGGTCCTCACTGAGGGCATTTTTGGAGCCTTGCAGCGGGCGTGGGGTCAGCCGTCATCTGTGTTTCCACGAGACCTGAAGCCCTGTCTGGGCCGAGTCCCTGTGGCCATGAGGGTATTGTGGACCGTGTGGCCTGCAGCCCTGTGGACAGAGGCCCTGCTGACCAGGCCCTACCACTTGATGCTGAAGCCAGAGCTGGCTTTCTCCACAGCGTGGTACTGCGTGTGCAGCAGGCGGGCCGCCTTGTCCGAGCTCTCACCTTGCAGCCAGTGCTCATACAGCTCCCGGACCCCTGGTGCGTCCTCGGGCGCCTGTGTCCTGACCTCCCCGTACAGCCGCTCCACCTGCTGCAGCAGCTCCTTGTCCTGGGTGTCGGGGGCCCTCAGCTGCCCCCCGCCATTCAGGCAGCCTGCGGGAGGAAGGGCGAAATCAGGTGGCACATGCTGTGGCCCCTCCCACTCCTCAAATCCAGCCCTGGGCCTGGGCTACCTGTGGGCCAGGCCTGGGCCTCCGCGTACCTGAGGGGCAGGCCATGACCTCCACGTAGTGGTACGGGCAGCGGCCGCGCTTGAGCTTCTGCACCAGGTTCTGGATGTTTCTGAAGCCGTAGGCGGCAGCGAAGTGCAGCAGGACCTGGCCATCGCGCTCCAGCGTCACCTCCCGGAAGTCCTTGTTCCTGTGGGCACGGCTGCCCGGTGAGCGGCCTGCTCTCTGCCATCCACCACCACCTGCCAGCCTTGTCCTTCATGGCAGGGTAGGGACAGGACAGCCCCACGGTGGGGGACTGAGGGTTGGGGCACCCCCACCTGCCCTGGGCCTCGTTCAGCACTGACCTCAGGGGTTTGTAAGTGACCTCAGCCACGTGGATCCCAAAAAGCTCCCGGGCTGCATGCCGGAACACGTGCTCCAGGTAGCCCCCTGATCCCCCACCCCGATGGCTGGTGGGCTCCTCCACAGGTGGGCAGCTGGGCCTGGCAGAGCGAGAGGTCACGTGGCTGCAGAGCCCAGCCTTGCCTGCACAGGAACTCTGCGAGCCAGGTGGCCCCCGGACATGTCAGCCACCTGCACTGGGGCTGGCTGGGGCAAGGCTGGGCTGATGAGGGGGCAACCAGGCTGGAGGTGAGGCTGGAGAAGGGGGCTCCTACTAGGATTTCAATCCCTGCTTGAGCTGTGAGGGGAGCCTCCATGGCCAAGGTCACTGACCCCAGGTCCTGCGAGTGGGTCTGGACGGAGCTGGCTTTGCCCCCTGGATGGATGTTGAGGAGCCCGGTCTCTGGACAACTGTCCTCTCAATCCAGTCCCAGACAGGGTGAGCAGGGAGGCGGCTGTGGCCATGCACATTGGGGTGGGAGTCCACAGTGGGGCTGGGGGTGGCTGGCAGCAGACAGGCCCAGTGAGTAGGGCCCGGGGACAGGGCCTGTCCTCCCTTGGGGGACCTCAGGAAAGACCACCACAGGGATACTGTGCCAATGAGGGGTAGAGTTGTGGGTGGGGCCCCATAGCATATCCTGGAGCCATAATAGCACCTAGGCGTCCCCCCACCAACTCACAGCGCATCCAGGGGGGCCGGCTCCAAGTCCGGGAGTGAGACCCCCTCCTCCTCCAGCAGCTTGGTTACCTCGCCTGTGAGAAACCAACCAGTGGCCTGTGAGTCTCAGCACTTATGCGCGGATGGGGATTCTTGTGCTAGCCCAGAGCCCAGTGGGGCAGCTGGGAGGTTCTTGGCTGCTGACAGGTCAGCCGTTTGGGTTCCCCAGTGGCTGAAGGAGGGGGGCGGGACGACCTGCTCTGTGAGGGGTCAACTCCACGGCCCCGATAATAGGCACTGACCTGCAGGTGGAGTTCTGGACTTGATGCCTAGTGCCCTCGGGCAGGCAGTGCGTCCAGAGACACCCGCAGGGGACTGCCCTGCATCCCCGGGCTCAGCTGATGGCAGCATGGTGCACACCTGTGGTGATGACGCAGTCCACGTCCCGCGTCTGGAGCTCCTGGTTGACAAAGTCCGGTCGGGACGCCTCCAGCTTCTTGTCGTAGCAGGGCATCACCGTCACGTGGTACACCTGGTCGGGCCGCAGGTGCTGTGCAGGGACACAGCAGAGTCCAGTGCGGCTCAGGCCACCCACCCCGGCTGTCCTGCATTCATGGGTGGCACTGAGGGACCCGGCCCCCCACCCTGCTCCCTGCAGGCTGAGACCCTGGGAGCAGTAGCTCTGATGAGGGGCTGCCTCAGGGCACCGGGTGGCCAGACTTGGGAGACCTCGCCCACCCCCAACCAATCAGTGGACCCCGGGCCTCAGGCAAAAGAGGTGTCAAGGAACTCAGTGGGGCAGAACATTCTGGAAGGCACACTGCCACGGAACTGTGCCATCGTGACATGTGCCCTGCAGCAACTCACATCGGCTCACTCACCTGGTGCTGGGCCAGGAAGTCCTTGACCAGGGCACCCATGACCTGCTGCGGGGAGCGGGCCGTGCTGAGATGGGGGAGGACGAGGTTGCCGTGCGTCTTCTCAGCATAACAGATCCAGCCTAGGCCACAGGGAGCAGAGGGTGCTAGGTGAGGGGGCGGCGTGGCTGGGAGTACAGTACGGGCTAGGGTGGCATGCAGCCGGGTGGAGGGTCTGAACTGCCGAAAAGGACTTTAAAATGACTCAGGCTGACACCAGCGAGGTGTCTCCCTGAGGGGTCAGCAAGCTGACCTGTCCCTAGTAGGGTCCTCCGCCTCCTGCCACGGACCCTCAGTGTCACCCTAACTCCCACCACTCCTGACTCAGCAACTAGGAGGTGGGTGGGACACCCAAGCCATGACACACTGCGAGCTTACACAGTGCAAACCTTCCCCAGGGTGGGGGCGAGGCACAGGGCCCTAAAAACTCAAAAGGCAGCTCTGGGACTGTGAAGGCAGGTGTTTGGGCGCACCTGGGCAGGTGGCGGCCAGCACAGGCAGGGCCTGTCTGGTGTCGGGCTGGCTACGGTAGCGGCGCACAAACTCCCGCTGGCTCTCCAGGAGGCTGAAGTTCCGTGAGAAGGCAGTGTCGAACACACGGTGCACCCCTGTCAACAGGTGGAGGCCTGAGCCACATGGCCAGGGCCCCTCAGCCAGCGGGCGGGCTGAGGCTGTGCTGGGGACAGTGGGTGTCCCATCTGGGGTCAGAGGTTTGCTTGTGTGTGGGGGGGTGTGTGGACAGGGGGCACACAGGGGAGCCCAGCTATCAGTACATGTGGGGCACTTGCTTCATGCCTCCCGCAGCCCTGTTGCTCAGTTTGCTCCACGGTGAGGTCACACCGGCACGTGGTGTTCCCAAAGCACACAGTTCAGGAGGAAGCGAGGAGGGGGGGCGGGATCACCCCCCTGCAGCAGGAAGCGGGGCGCACCCACCTATCTTTTTAAAGAAAGCAGTTAACTTCCTGGCAGTGTCTGTCGGCTTCAGCTGAAATCTCGCAGCCAGGGAAGCCACTGACTGTGGGGACACGGAGGCTACCACGAGCTTCTGTTGGCCGGGCGCGGCTGCCTGGGGAGCGAGGGGACAGATGGAGGTGAAGTCGGCAGGAGGGGAGGAGGCTCTCCTGGCTGCACCTCCCCAGAACCATCAGGCCCAGCAGGTGTGAGACTGACCGTTATTGTGGGGTACAACACAACTAAGGAGATATTGGCTCCCACTGTCACAGGTGCAACCAAGTGGCCTCAATGACACCAGTGTGGGATGTGTCATCCCCACCGGTTTCCCAATGCCTCCCTTCCCCCGTCATGAACTCTATACTGAAGGGGCAGTGTCCGCTCCAGCCCCCTCGTGCTCCGGGGTCCCTGAGTGGCTGCGGTTCTGGTCACTGATGTATGGGGGACAGCCAACACGAGGGGCAGATGGAATCAGGGAAGGATGGTCCTTCCCAGGAGCGTCCTGGTATGTCCCTGAGCTTGATGTGGCCCACACAGGGACCTCGCTTCTTGTTCCATCATGTGGAGGGACCGCAGGCTCAGCGAATGGCTCACCCGCAGCAGAGGGATGTGCCAACTGGACAGCTGGGCAGGGGCCCGGCCCTAGCCATCATGGGCTTGGGCCCCACACCCCAGAGTCGGGGCCTGTCCCTGCAGTGCTGGAGGGGGGCCGGCAGGTGATTGGCTAAGGGACGCCCCCGACCTGCCAAGCGGATGACAGGATGCTTGTCACTGTCCGCGGCCCACTCACAGCTCACCCCGTTCTCGCGAAGAACCTTCCGGAGCTCTCCGTGGCTCTGCTGGCTGATAAGCACGCTCTCCGCGGAGGTGACACAGCCACTGCACGCCAGGCAGTCGTTGAGTGAGATCTTGGCTTTCTCCAGCTTGCGTGTCCCGCCGTCCTGCAGAGCCCAGGGGTGCCCAGCATAGGACAAGGGGCCTGACCCTAAGGGGCTGGTTGAGCTCAGTGGGAGAATACCCCCAAGCCTCAGAGTAAACCCGCCGGTTGCTCAGCCTGGGCTCCAGCACTCCCATGGGAGACCCCCGGTAGTGCCCAGCACGCCCCACCGCCATACCCCTCCCCTTGCCCGCTGTACATGGCTAACTTGGAAGTAGGATCCGTCGTCCTCGATGTGGATCTTGGCCACGCCACTCCCCGGCCGCCGGTCCACCTTCACAGGCTTGATGCAGTCCTGGATCAGGAGACAAGCCCAGGCTGGCCTGATTGGATGGGGGCTCTGCGAAGGGGGCTCCCAGAGGCTGCTGCCCACCAGAACAACAGGTGCTGGGACCCGGACCCCTCATCCCGTTCTCACACTCAACCCAACGGCCCTGCATCTCAACCCCCAAATGTATGTCAACTGAGACCACTGGGTACCAGGGCCTGGCCTGGTCAGCTGTCAGTCTCTCCCTCTTTCCTATCCCCACCCAACACTGACCTACGGCCCTGGAGTCAATTCTGAATTGTAGTGACCCGGTAGGAGAGAGTAGAACTGCCCCATCGGGGTTCCAAGCCTGTCATCGTTACAGCGAGGGGTGTACTGTGCCACTGGGGCTGAGGAGTTGGGCTGCTAATCAATCCCAAGGTCAGTGGTTCAAACCCTGCAATCGCTCCTCGGGAGACCGAGGAGGCTGCCTGATTTGACAGCCTTGGGCGTCCTCCACAGGGAAGCTGTGAGCTGGATTTGACACCACAGGGGCAGAGGGCTGGGTTTGGGTCTCGACAGAAGCACTACCACCTCGTTTCCACTTGGGGCAACCGATGGAGTGGAACTGCGCCCCTCTGCCTAGCAGCCAGGTCCTGAACACGTGGCTCCACTGGGGTTCCATGCCAGCCCCCTTTCCACCCAGTACCAGAGGCCACTGACGGTCCCCGGGCAGCACTTTTCCCTCCCTGCCCTGTCCTCTCACTAGAGAGCCTCCCTGGCTCATGCCCTCCAGAGGATGACCGTCCACTATGCCTGGAGGGAGGGTTTGTCCGTGCTGACGCTGCCCGAGTGCCGTGCACAGCAGCCGGCAGCAGGTGCCGCCAGAGCCTGCGGGTCCCTCTGGCGGACTGCCCTTTTAACGCCCACCACCTGTCCAGCACTGCTTCCAGGTGAAAGGCTGGGCATGGGCTCTGGCAGGGACCTCCCCCTGGCTGTGGGGGATCTCTACCTGCCTGTGCCTACTGAGGCACAAGTGGGGGCCCCAGCGACCCTGGAGGGGGGAGGGGCTAGGGTCCCCAGAGTTCTTGGAAGGTGGACCGGAGTCCTTGGAACCCCTTGGGAGGGCAGGCCCAAGTTCTTGAAGTTCCTGAGGGGGGTGGGCTGGAGTCCATGGGGCTTGGGTCGGGGTCCCTAGGTCGGACTCCAGCTCTCAGGGGAGGAAACCGGAGGGAGGGCGCAGGAGGGAGCCCCGGGGAGGCCGACGAGATGGCCTCTCCGACCCCAGCAGCGCGCGCACGGCCCCAGACCCCAGGCACCCGCCTTCTGCGCGCAGGCCCACCTGCGACGGCCCTATGAAATCATCCAGATCCGTCAGCTGGAGCGCCCCGCTGAAGGGCGACGCCATCGCGGCCACGCTACCGCCACGCACAGGTGTCGCCAAGCGCCGCAAAAGATCCAGCCTGTGTTCCGCCACGCTGCCGGAAAGCGTCCCCTCACGGCGCATGCGTATTTCGCTCTGCGGCCTGGAGGGACGTGCGCCCTCTGCTGGCTGGCCCCGAGCATGCATAGAGGCTCCCGATCCCGTGTTTGGAACCCTCGGGGTCAAAGGTCCCAATTTCGACTTTCCCGCCTCCTCTGGGGCAGGACAGGGGCCACGCAGACGAGGGTTGCCGGGTGCCAGCGCCTGTCAATCTCTCAGCACGTTCTCTCCTTTAGTATTCACCTGTTGCCCAGGTATGCCCCCCCCTCCAGTTGGCCTCCTGGAGGAGCTTGTACAGGCAGCAGGCCTGCGTTTCCTCTCTGACGCCGCACCCAGATCACAGCCTGACCCTTGGCCACTGTTGAATCAAAGTTCAGGCCTGTTGCGCGCGGACGCAAATAGAGATGATTCGAAAGGACTGGGGCCTGGGGTGGTTCCCTTCCTGTCTGGTTGGTGCAGCACCGGGCCATTCTGCAGCGGCCCTGGTTGGCCTTGGGGAGCCTCTTGCAGCATCCCCCACCCCTCCCGGGGCCTCTAGTACGTCAAATGCATTTCCCTGTGAGAGTTTCTGGGCGGAAACAGCGGCTTTTTTTAATGTCTGTCACATCATTGAATGACCTACTCCGGAAGTTTCCAGAGAAATCCAGGGTGGAGTCTGGGTCAGGGCCCCTGCAGTCTCAGTCCTTATAGGAGTATCAAATGTCTGATCACCTAGCAAGGCTATAAGAGAAAACCACAACTCAGTGGTTTTACACACACACCTGGCTTTCCATTCTCCTGGCTTCCAGGTTGGAAAAAGACAAGATTTGATACACCTGTCAAGATACAGCTGTGGTATTTTCCATTGCTTCCTGTGCATGGAAAGTTGGACGTTGAATAAGGAAGACCGAAGAAGAATCAAGAACCTGAAGGGGGGGGTAAAAAAAAACCAACGGCAACCAAGCAAATCCCGCCCCCCGCCCCCCCAAGGAAGCCCAACGAAGCCGGAAGGCAACAACGGGAAAACCTTCCTGCAATGCGGCGGGTGGGTTTGAACCACCAGCCTTATGGGGTACAGCCGAATCCTTACCCCACAGTGCCACCAGGCCTTCTTCATAACCCTGGCAGTGTATGAGATGGACCACGCAGTTCACTCTCACAGCAGTGGGAGTCTGCCAGCCATGGCCAGG